TTTCAGGAGGACCACAGCCCCTCCCCTCCCCAGAAGCCCCCACTCACTTGTCCTCGAACCAGCAGCTCATCCTGGTGGCGACGTTTTTCAACACCGGGTTCAGAAGCTCCTCCTGACAAGAGAACCACAGGGGGTGAAGGACAAATGCAAGATGGCTTCTGCTCCTGCAGCCCAGGACCTTCTGCCCTCAACCGCTAATGCGTGACATCTGCAGCCAGGATCACGTGGGGTTCCCTTCTCCTGCTCCCAGGATCCCACTCGAAGCCCGGCTTTCTACGATTAAGTCCCCCCTCCTGCCGAAGATCTCTGTTTAAACAGCCACACCCCCGCCTCTGCAGAGCAGAAGAAGGTCCCCCACCAGCCAGTTGTCCTTACAGGTACTGGAGCTGAGGCTTTACTCATATCCAGGATGCGCCCACACAAGGTCTCCAAGAGGAGCTGGACTGGAAGCCAAATGTCGGGCAAAGGGTCTTTGGTCCAGTTCTTCACGGCCAACATCTCCACCACCATCTTTGCCAGGGGTGCGCATCTCGTAATCAAGTCCTTGTGAGCCCCTATCATCTTCAGGACTTGCCTAGGGAAGCAGGTGGAGAACATCAGATGGGCTTTGGAGGACTAGAAGGCACGTCGGTGATGTCTGAGATGGCCCCGTGGCTGGTGGACGTGGCAGTGACCTCCAGCCGGGGGGGGTGGGGTTTGCCAGCGATGAAGGCGGCAAAGCGGGGACTGGGGGAAATCCACCCGCTTGAAGATCATTAGGACAAAAGTCAGGGTTCAAGGTGACCTTGGCAGGCTGGAGGAGTGAGCCCGTGCCAACCTCGTGAAGTAGAACAAGGCCAAGTGTGAGGTCCTGCACCCCGGGCAGGGCAGTGGGTTTAAACTCAAAGAGGCTGTATTTAGACCGGACTTAATGAAGAAACGTTGTACCCTGAGGGTGGGGAGACACCAGAAGCGGTGGTCCAGAGGCACCGTGGGTGCCCTGGACATGGGGAGCGTTCAAGGTCAGGTTGGACAGGGCTTTGAGGAACCTTGTCTAGTGGAAGATCATAGAATGGGTTGGGTTGGGTTGGGTTGGGTTGGAAGGGACCTTCAAAGGATCATCTAGTCCAACCCCCCTGCCATGGACAGGGGCATCTTCTCCATCATTGGTGCTGGTCAAGGTCAGGTTGGAGGGGGCTTTGAGCAACCTGATCTACTGGAAGATGTCCCTGCCCATGGCAGGGGGGGTGGGATTTAGATGATCTTTGAAGCTCTCTTTCAAACCATTCTCCCCCCCGCAGGAGCATTCCCATCCAGCTGCCTGGATAAGACCACCCAGCACCCAGCTCCATCTTCCCCTTGAAGTCCACCAGCGCTCCTTCAACACCCCCTCAGGTGTGCCAAGGAGAAGGGGCAGCTTCTTGAGAAGCCACCAAGCAGGAGGAACCCAAAGCGCTTTGAATAGGGGGATGGCTCCTTACCCCGAGCCTTCCTTGGCCTTTCAGACCCACCTTTGCTTGTCTTCCTCCTTCCTCAGCTGCATGAAGGCTTGCAAAGGAAGCTCGTGCGGGAGAAAGGGGTCCTCTGTCTTCTCCTTCATCGCGCAGAGCAGCGGGACCAACCAGATCCACAAGGTGCTGTTGGTGGTCTTCAGGCACGCGTCCTTCAGGGACTGAAAGTATTTGCTGCAAAAAAAAGGCCCCAAACCAAGTCAAACTTCCCGCGAGCAACCTCTGGGATGCGGTGGGGGGGACTTGTGCCGACACGGGATGGAGTCTTCTCCTACACCCCGCAATGGGATTCATCCTGCCCGTGGGCGGCTGCCTGGAAAGAGCTCGGACTGATCCACCTTCAGGGGACAACCGATATGGGAGACACTCCTCAAGGTGCCGAGGTGCCCCAGGTGGACTCACCAGGCCGGAAGCACCCCTTGGGATAGCACGTGGCGCCCAAAGCGACGCGGAGGAGGGCAGGGGGGGACAATGGAGCTGAGCCCTGGGCCTCTAAAGGTTGCGAGGAGGTAGATGAACCCAAATTAAGGTTGCGAGGAGGTTGATGAACCCAAATTAAGATTGCGAGGAGGTTGATGAAGCCAGATTAAGGTTGCGAGGAGGTTGATGAACCCAAATTAAGGTTGCGAGGAGGTTGACAAAGCCAAATTAAGGTTCCGAGGAGGTTGACAAAGCCAAGTTACCTCTTTGTTCTCAGCTCTTTGTAGTTGTTCTGGAGGAACTCCATGACCTGCAGGCACTTCTCGGCCTTGGCGACAGACGAGTCGGGGAGGGGGATGCGATAGCGAAACGAGGTGTGGAAGGCGAGCAGGAGCCTGGGGAGTTCGCGTTCCCCTGTCTTCAGGCTCTCGATGATGGCTTGGATGAAGCCTTCGATGTTGTCTCGCACCTGGACAAGGAGAATGAGGAGAAGGTGTTCCACCAGGCTGGACAAGATGGGATTTCTCCGAGAAGGGCCTAGTCCCGGGAGGATGGGAGGTGGGAGACGCTGCTGCCTGGGGACGCCTTGCGTGGCACCTCCCTGGTGCCACACAGCCACCCAGGAAGGTCCTGCGTGATAAATAAACTGGGCAGGAGAAGACTCCACCCCTCTGCCATCCAAACCATCCTCCCAAAAATGAGGGACAGCACTTGGCCACCTCCCCTAGAGCTTTCGGTGGGCGTTTACCTCTTTTACAGCTGCTTCATGGATGACCTGAAAGGGTTTTCCTCTTTCCACGTCCCCTAAGTAGCCCTTGACACTCTCCTTGTACCGGTCCAGCTTCCTCTCTGCGTCCTCCAGGGAGTTCCAGGAGGTGACGTGAGGAAGGAAATTGCACACCAGGTACTCCATCTGGAGCTTCTCCCTGGGCACCTTCTTGTGTCTCCAGGCAAAGCCACCACCAGGGAATTGGCATTTGATATTTTCGAAGATGGTCCATGTTCCTGGTGGGGGGAAGGGGAAAGAATGGAAGAGTTTGGGAACTGAACAGTGACACCAAGCCTCAACTGGGCCCCAAAAATCCCCACCCCCTTCCCTCCCACCCCACGTTTCTCCAGCCCCAAGAGGTGCTGCCCATTTTTCCAGGCAGGATGGGGGGGTGGCTCCGGTTTGGCTGCCGGCCGTGAGCTTTATTACGAGGGGAAAAAAAGCTCGTTTGTACGAGCGGCTCATTAAGCCGCAGCTTGAAACCCCCTCCTCCACCCCCCCTCCCCCAAATAAACCCGAGGGAAGCGTAGGCTGGCCTACGGCCACGGCCACGGCACCCGGACGTGGTTTTGGGGTAAAAACCTGGCGCTTACTGTCCGCTCTGATCTCCTGGTTGGGTATATTGATGACGCGATAAAACTGAGCGTGTCTGGACCTGAAGGGTTTTGGGATGTCGGAATTGTCCAAGGAAAGCTCCTCCAACGTGCACCTTCTCTCCTGGTTGAAGGCGTTCATGAGGGCATATTTATAAAAGATGGGGCCCTGCTGCAGGTGGGAGATGGGGATCCTGGCGCTGCCCGTGAATTTATAAAAGATGAGGCCCTGCTGCAGGTGGGAGATGGGGATCCTGGCGCTGCCCGTGATGACTCTGTCTCTGGAAGAGGAAGAGTTGGCTTGGTCAAGCCACTGGTCAAGTTTGGGCTCATCCAAGGAGACGTTGTTGGCTTTCAGAAGTTTGGGGAGCAATCCCCAGCCGGGTTCGTCATTGTTAAATCCCGCAGCCCAGCTCAGATCCTCGCATGAGTTTGGAAGATCCCAACCCTCGGTGCCAAAACAGCAGCTCTGGGAGCGATGGGGAGGTTGGAGGAGCCACCAACTGGGATGTCTCCATTCAGAGGGTTCACCTCCAACCTCTTGCAGGAACCCGTGGCCAGGTCCTTCGGTCAGAGCCGAATCTCCTGCAGGAGCACCCACCACGGAAAGGCCTCCTGGGTGCATATTCCCCCCATTTTTTTGGGTACCTTTTCTCCATGCTGGCGAACTCCTCGCAGAGGCCGGGCTCTTTGTAGAAGACGACACAGATCTTGGACATTTTGTCGAGCTTCTGGTTTTCTGACAGCACGGCAACGAACTCCAGGGTCATCATGTCCCGGGGTGGGCAATGGCCACCAAACAGATACTGGCTGGGCTCGCAGCTGAG